TTTCATTTTTTATTTATCCTGCATGGAGTTTGCTGAGTTTCTTGATATCTAAGTTGATATTTTTTCAGATTTAGAACATTTTTATCCATTAATTATTTAAAATACCTTTCTTTTCAAGTCTAAATATCTTTTTCTTTGTGAATCCTGCTTTTAAACTTAGAAGCCCCTGAAACATTTAAAATGTGATTTCTATGCCTGAATTTCTACATTTTTAAATGTTTCTACTTTAAAACATTTTAATGCTTCATAAATTTTGGATTTTTTGTGTTAAACTTAAAAAGGAAATTTTGATGCCTAGTGGCTAATAACAAATAAAAAATACAACTACAAAGAAAATTTCCAAGTAGTTAGCCATTTTTCCTACAACATTTATTTCATAATTTATATCTTTTCACCATGATTTGTAGTATCTACTTCAGAGTACATTCATTTAAAAATGGGTAATAGTAGAGCTCGCTCAAGAGTTTGAGCTCTGAGAAACAGCGGTTCGAGTCCAGCCCGAGCTGAGCAGCCGCTGAGCTGCCAACAGGTAGCAGGATGGCTCAGCTAAAATAAATAAATAAATAAATAAATAAATAAAAATGGGTAATAGTGCTTATTTCTGGGCTGTCTATTCCCTTATACATCTCTTGATTATAGAGTTCTAGAATCATATTGATTTAATTATTGTATGTAGCAGAAAAAGAAATTTACAGATTATTGCTATAGGTTGATTTCATTACATTTTTTTCTAGCTTTATTGAAATATAATTGATGTATAACATTGTATAAATTTGTGGACAATGTAATGATTTCATATATGTATATATTGTGAAATGATTACCACCATAAGATTGGTTAACACATCTACCACCTGACAGAGTTACAATTTTTGTGTGTGTGCTGAGAACTTTAAAATATACTCTTAGCGACTTGGAATATACACTAGAGTATTGTTAACTTGAGTCACCATGCTGCACATTACTGTAGGTTGCTTTCTGATAGCCCTCTTTGGTGGGTAGGTTCCAGACAACCTCCACCTAAACCTGTTTGGCAGAAGTGCTGTAAGCCCCAAGGTATATTTAGGGACCAGAAGGTCACTTAACATTCCCAGATATCAGAGTCAGATTAATGGTTTAAACTCTGAGGGACAGAGTATGTCGGTAGGCATTCTGTGTGTTCCAAAGGTGAGAGGTGACCTGGAAGCAGTTCTTTTCTGTGTCCTAGTTTTAGTTGCTCAAAACTAGTTCATGGGACTTCATGGGAAGACTACACATCCGTTCCCCAGTCTGCTTTTTCACGCCAGCCTCCTCCCACAGGTAGAAAGCAAAGCAGCTATACATAGCAGTAGGTTTAAACAGAGACTGGTGGAGTGAGGAGTGGGATGGCGTGTGTGGAAGTGTTTTGACTTTTCTTTTGGCTTCCCAGATTAGCAAAATGTCCTCTCAGACCAGGTATTTTATATTTTTTGTTGCTATGGTGAATAGGATATTTTCCCCATTATATTTCCCCAATGATTATTGGTGGTATTTAGTAAACCTTTTGATTTATATCTATTTATTTGTATTGTGCTACTATTGAATAGTATCATTAATGAAATTATTGCTGATATTTATCAAATGTTTGCCATGTGCCATGTCTTTCAGTACTTTAAACATGCCATTTTATTGTCTTCATAACAAACCAGTGAGATTAGTATTATTATCATCCCCTTCTTGTGGATCAGACTTCTTACTGAGGCTTAGAAGGTAACCTCTCAAGGTTATTCATCTCATCAGTGGTGACTGTGATTCAAACCAGTGTGATTAACCTTTGTATTATTTTAATTCTCCTATAAATTCTTGGAATTTTTCAACTGATTTTCTTGAGTGTAGCTATTTCATCACACTGGCCACAAGTAACTTTAATTTTACCTTTTTCTGTCCAATAGTCATTGCTCTTAGTTTGGCTTCATGTTTTGTTGCATTGACTGGAGATAGCAGAACAATGTTAAAATGAAACAACAAAAGGAGGCATCCTTGTTTTGTTAATGATTTAATGGAAAAACCATTATTGTTGATTTAAATTTTTCAAATTATGTTAAGGAGGTATCCTTCCATTCCTGGATTTCTGAGCGTTTAAATAAATCAGAAACAGGTGTTAAATTTTATGAAATTTTAACATCTATTGAATTTATTATATGGACACCCATGGTTTTAATCCAGATTCATTATTGAGAAATGAAATAACTATAAATGCAGTTTAATTGGTGCTTTTCTTTTTCTAGCAATATCTAGCAATATTTTTTTCAAAGTAACATGTGGGCAGTAAAGGCATAATTTTTTTTTTAATTAAGGGTTTTAAATTTTTCCCTGTCCAGATTTTGAGTCTGTACTGGATAAAAGAAAAGATTGTGTGTAGGGGGCATTTTTGAGGTATTTTCTTTAGAACAGCTTGTGAAGGTACCATTCGGTTATAATTCAAAATTTTATTATATTTAATTAGTTTAGATTCATGTTGATGGAATTATAAAACAAATAGGTAATTATTAATTCTAATAACATGTTGCACAAATCTTCATATATGAGTGTTGGCATTCATTAAACTATTATAATTCGTTATAGTAGTTACAGCTCACAAAGACAGTACTTGCATTTGAAGTGTTAAAGTTTTTAATTGTTTTCATACATGACCCACATTAGCTACACATTAGAAAGAGAATCTATGTTATTCCTTTTTTATAATGTGGCTAAAAACCACCGGAAGGAATATGATTTGATGTTTATTGATATTTTGTATTGAGTAGTTGTGACCAAGAATTGGTTTAGAGAAATGGTGCTTTTTCATATATTATAAGGAATGAAGGTCATCAAATATATGGAAGGAAGGGCCAGACTGAGCTTCTTTTTTTTTTTTAAAGAAGAAAAACAGTATTTTGATTTTGTTCTTAAACAACAAGACTGAGTTTTAATAACCGGAACTTGATGTGCCTGCTGATGAGAAAGGGAGAGTTGACAGAGCATGGGTGAAGGCATTGATGGGGAAAAAGAAAATCATTTCTTGTTTCTACCTCACAGAATTGGGATTACTCAGTAAGTCAGTTATAAGATGATATAGGGAAACTGCTGGGGTTGGTTTTCTTTTTTTGTTGTTGTTATTTTCCCAAGAGGAGCACGTTATTTCAGTGTGCAGAGTTAAGAAGAGGAAAGTTTTCCCTTGGAGCAAGATACATCTCTAAGAATGACTACCGAGTGGAAATGAGTGGCATGATCATTAAGATAGTTAAGTAGAGTATTTAGGCGTTACTGTCTACATAATGAATCTGAGATAAAATTTCCCATGATGCTCTGCATTTGTAGTTTTCAAACATCAAATGAAATAATTAAGTTATTCTCAAATCTCAAACCAAATCCAAATGAGAAAAATAACCTCTGCTGGATCACATTAAAGAGACATTAGTACTCCTAAATTCAGCTTCTTATAAAACATCAACCACCACCAAAAAAAATATTGGATACAGAATAATTTAGAAGGCATTTTTAAAATTACCAAATATTATGGCTTTAGGGAAAAAAAAATCAAGTTTAGCCCTTAACTGTAACTCCTCAATAAGTGAATCATGAAAAAACGCATTCTGTCTACATCTGCTAACATCATACCTTGCAAACATGTCTACTCTAAACATTCAAAAAGATAGAAACTTGGTTGCAGACAACTTCTGATTAATGGCCTTAGTAGCAATTCAGTGTTAATGAGTTGGAGAGTATGTCATCGTCCTCTGTATCATGTGTTTGTTACTGTAATAATACTGTGTATTAAACAACCACAGTAATTCAGTGGCATGTAATAATTTCTTTTTGCTCACAAGTCTACACATTAGCTGAGCACTTCTGCTGATCTTAGCAGGCTTGATCTGGCAGTTTTTCGAGCCTTGCCTGGATTTTTCTCATGTGTCTGGAGGTCTGCTGAATGGTGGCTGATCTAGGACAGATTTGGCTGGGGTGACTCAGCTCTGCTCCACGTGGTCTTGGAGCTTTTCAATAGGCTAGCCTGGGCTTTATGGTAGTGGTATGGTTTCAAAAGAGAGAGCATGGAAGCATACAAGGCCTCCTGAGGCCTTGGCTTGGAATTGGTACATGACACTTCCATCCCATTTTTTAGGCCAACACAAGTCATGAACCCAACCCAGCTTCAAGGGCAGGGAAAATAAACTCTTGGTGAGAATAGCTGCAAAATCACATTAAAAAAAGCATGGTTAGAAGCTGGGGTAGAGAATTGGAGTCACTGTTGCAATCAATCTACTACGTTCCCTTTCATGTTTCTTCACCCAAATTGGCCAGATTTCTGTTCTTGGGCTGATAGTTTCATGGGCAGTCTAGCAAGAAAGGGATCCTGGATCTCAGCACCTACTGAAACGGGCAGTGCAGGCACCTGTTATATAGAAATGTGTCTCCAAGAGAGGACCTTGAGTATTTCTGCCGATGGTTTGTCATCTAACTGTTTCTGCTTTGTTACCAAGAAGAAAAATAAAATCATGTCAGAGAATGTGTTTTTATGTGAAGAGGGAAACAAATCAATTACAACTAATTAAAATTTGAAGTGTTTAATGGGAAAAATTGAATGTCGCACTTTAATTTTCTGTAGATCATGAATAGAAGCAAATATTTGAACCAAATACAATGCATTGTTATGTTCTCAACCCTATTTGTAAAAATCTGAGACGAAAGAGTGGGCAAACAATGTAGAATTAGAGCTTCAGAGCATCAAAATACTTTGACTAGTTTTTCCTGTGCGTCTCCCTCTACTCCCCACTGATGAGCACACTGTTTTGGTAAAATGTCCTCCCAAGAAGGGGATGATGGTGATTCATGTGAATGTACCTACTGATCTCAGAACAAATCATTCCTCGTGGTTATATGTGGAATATCTCAGTATTCATAACATTTAGTGCAGTGCCTTACATGGGCAAGGCACTCAGGAAAGTATTTATGGCATGTAAGTATGGGAATGTTGATTTTCCCTCCCTTTTCTGTCTTTTCCAGGATTAGTCAATCGACTGTTTAGCTACTCCCTCCCGGACAAGGATAGACTGGACTGTGTGGGGCTTATAGACGTCCCAGACTCCTACAGTGGTCCTCGGCTGCAATTCCCGCTCACTTTTACCGATATTTATTTACTTATTGAGGCCTTCAAGGAACGAAAGGCAAGTGGAAGCAGATACTGCCTTGATTCTTATACATAAGCAATGAGCTCTTGTTGAATGAGTGAATGAGAGCATTACAGCAGTAATGCATTCCCTTGGGAAAAAACTTTACATTGAGAGCTACCCTCTGCTTTGCTTAACCCATGAAATAGAAGTATCCTCATGTGCACGGAAACCTCCCTGTATCTATAGCTTGCAGCATTTTCTTTTTCTTTTTCTGAGATATAATTCACATACCATAAAATTCACCATTTAAAATATATGATTCAATTGCTTTTATATACGATTCATGAGATCGTACAACCATCACCAATATCTAATTCCAGAACATTATCATCACCCCTAAAAGAAGTGCCGTACCCATTACTGTTCCCTCCTCCCCCATCCCTGGCAACCACTGTTATACTTTTTAATCTCTGGATTTGTCTCTTCTGGATATTTCATACACATGGAATCATACAATATGTGTCTGACTTTCATTTAGCATAATGTTTTTAAGGTTCACTCATGTCACAGCATGTTTCATTACGCCTTTATTTTTATGGCTGGCTAATATTCTATTGTATGGATATACCATTTTTGTTTATTAGTTCATCAATGGATGGACATTTGGGGTTTTTCCTACCTTTTGGCTATTGTGAATATTGATGTACGAGTTTTTGTGTGAACATATTTTCAGTTCTCTTGAGTATATACTGAGGAGTGGAATTGCTGGGTCATATGGTTACTTTTAAGGAACTTCCAAACCATTTTCCACAGCCGCTACACCATTTTACATTCCTACCAACAATGCATGAGGGTTCCAATTTCTCCAGGTTTTTTGCCAACACTTCTTTTATTTTTTTTATTTATTTTATTTTTATTATGGCCATCTTAGTTGTGTGTGAAGTGGTATCTCATTGTAATTTTTATTTGCATTTCTCTAATGACTAAATGAATGTTAAGCATCTTTCAAGTTTAGTGGCTTGTACACATTCTTTGAAGAAATGTCTCTTTAGATCCTTTGCCCGTTTTGAAGTCAGATTTTTTGTCTTTTTATTATTGAGTTGTAAGAGTTCTTTATATATTCTGGCTACAAATCCTTTATCAGGTATATGATTTGGAAATATTTTCTCCCATTCTGTAGGTTGTGTTTTCACTTTCTTGATAATGTCCTTTGATTCACAAAAATTTCTAATTTTGATGAAGTCCAATTTATCTATTTTTTTCATTTGGTTGCTTATGCTTCTGATGTCATATCTAAGAACCCATTGCCAAATCCAGGGTCATGAAGATTTACCCCAATGTTTTCTTTTAAGAATTTTATAGCTCTAGCTCTTAAATTTAGGTTTATTTCTGTATAATTTCTGTACATAGTATGAGGTAGGGGTCCAACTCCATTCTTTGCATGCGGGTATGCAGTTATTACAGCACATTTTGTTGAAGAGTCTGTTCTTTTCCCCATTGAATGGTCTTGGTACCCTTGTCAAAAATTAATAGGCCATAGATGTATGGATTTATTTCTGGACTCCCAGTTCTATTCCATTGGTGTATGTGTCTATGCTTATGCCAGCACCACACTGTCTATTAATGTGGTATATTACATTGATTAATTTTCTTATGTTAAACCACCTTTGTATTCCTGGAATAAATGCCATTTGATCATGGTGTATAATTCTTTTAAAATTCTGTTGGATTTGGTTTGCTGGTATTTTGTTGAGGATTTGCATTTTATTCATAAGGGATATTGGTCTGTATTTTCTTTTCTTGTGTTGTCTTTTTTTTTAAGATTTTTTATTGGGGAATTGGGAGATGGGAACAGCGCTGGGGAATTGGGGGAAGGGGAACAGACAAGTTGCTACCATTTTGTTCTTCAGTCTAGTTGTGGAGGACGTTGCTTCACTGGCCCAAGTTGGCACCATCATTGCGCTCTTCCCGGGCGAGGCAGATCAGTCGCTGGCTTCTGGATGGCCGCTCACGCTGGTTGCTGGCTACACACGGTAGCCCATGGCAACCCACGCTGGTTGCTGGCTACACGTGTATGGCAACCCACTGCAGCAGAGACTGCAGCCTACGCCGTCGCCGGCAACTCAGGGCAGCCCAGCTCCAGGTTGAGCTGTTGTTCAGCATCTTAGCTGTAGAGGGCAGTGTCACTGGCCCTCATATGTGGGATCCGAACTGGGGACTGGGGACCTCTGGCATCCCAAGCCAGTTCTTAACCAACGCACCACTTGGCCGGCCCTCTTGTGGTGTCTTTATCTGGCTTTGGTATCAGGGTAATACTGGCCTCTTAGAATGATTTAGGAATTGTTTCCTCCTCTTCTGTTTTTTGGAAGAGTTTGAAAAGGATTAGTGTAATTTCTTTAACTGTTCAGTAGAGTTCACCAGTGAAGCTGTCTGGTCTTGGACTTTTCTTTGTTAGGAGGTTTTTGATTACCAGTTCAATCTTTGTTTTAGATATGTTTGTGTTTTCTGTTTCTTCTAGAGTCAGTTTTGGCAGTGTGTGTGTTTCTAGAAATTTGTCCTTTTCATCTAAGGTATCTAATTTGTTGGTGTACAATTGTTCATAGTATTCTCTTATAATTCTTTTTATTTCTTTAAAGTTGGTGGGGATTTCCCCACTTTCATTTCTGATTATAATTCTTTGCATTTTCTCTTTTATTTTTCTTGGTCAGTGTAGCTGAAGGTTTGTCAATTTTATTGAACTTTTCAAAGAACCAACTTTTGATTTTGTTGATTCTATTGTCTTTCTGTTCTGTCTTTCATTTATGTGCACTTCAATTCTTTTCTTTCTTCATCTAGCTTTGGTTTAGTTTGTTCTTATTTTTCTGGCTCCTTAGTGTTAAGTGAAGCTTTTCATTTGAGAATCTTCTTCCTTAATGTAGGTATTCATAGCTATAAATTTCTCTTGAGCATTGCTTTTGCTGTATCCCATATGTTTTGGTGTATTGTGTTTTCATTTTCATTCATCTCGAAGTATTTCCTAATTTCCCTTGTGATTTGTTCTTTGACCCATCGATTGTTTAAGAGTATGTTGTTTGCTTTCCACATATTTGTGAATTTTCTAGTTTTCCTTCTGTTATTGATTTCTAGTTTCATTCCCTTGTGGTCAGAGAAGATACTTTGTATGATTCCAATAGTTTAAAATTTAGTTATTAGCATCTGGTCTATTCTGGAGAGTGTTCCATGTGCACTTGTAAAAAATATGTAGCCTGCTATTATTGGGTGGAGGTCTCATTGTGTGTGCAGTCTCTGAAGTCTCTGTTCCTTTAGGTTGTCTTCAGCTAGTGTTTTGACAGATTTCCTTGAACCCCAGGAGCTATTTTTAAAAATAGACAAGAAAAGAAGAAAAACCTTGTCTTTGCAGATTGGCTTTGTGTCGGTACACTCCTTCACTGCTTAGCCAGGCTGTTTACAAATCTGTCTTAGCCTTCACTTCCTGCTTTCACTGAGTCATTTTTAAGTTGCCTTTTCTTGATTTAGCTTTTGTTTGATTAATTTTGACTGTTTTTTAGAGCTCTGACAAAGTTGATTCTGACAGTTTTTTTGCTTGATTTTTTAAATGTTTCTCTGAAGGGTTGGGACCTTAGAGCTACTTACTCCATTATTTTCTCTGACATCGCGTTCAAACCCTCATTCTCAGGTTAGGACCCTAAGGAGTCCAAGTGAACTGGAAGTAGACTAGGGATTGAAGCAAAGCTTTGAATCATCTGGTTCTTGAGACTGAATTGAGATCATCCTCGATAGCTAGTGCTCCTAACCATTTGCCAAAAGAAAATTTAACTCCTCTCTAGAGGAAAATAGGCCTCCAGTTATTCCTCCAAGTTTTTGTATACAGTGTCCAGAACTTAATACAGATATTAACCAGGCATAGGAGGATACAAGATTCATGAAAGAAAACTGAGGATTTAGAGTGCTTTTGTGGGAAAAATCCTTAGCAGTCTGTTAGGTCTTGAATAGACAGGAAATACGGGCCTATCCTCACTAATCAACATGCAGGGGCCCTTTTCTTTCCTCCGAATTTTCACATTGCTTCAAATCCTGATTCCTGTCTCGTAAGCAAATTATTTAATCATGAAAATTCTCCAAATTTAGATCATATGTTTTGGGGATCTGGGATAGAAAATAATTTTATTATTTTAATAGCTATAAAAGTGGAAATTTCAGGACACTGTGAGACATCATTGTTCCAAACGGTTCCATCTGTGCTGAGTCCCATACCCAAAGCAGTATCTGAACAATATGTAGATATGACCCCCTCTCAGCCTTCAGTAATCTAAATCAGTGCTGTCCAATAGACATAAAATGTGAGCCACATACATAATCTAAAATTTTCTAGTAACATTAAAAAAGTAAAAAGAAACAAGTGAAATTAATTTTAATAATATATTTTATTTAATCCAACATAAAATTATCATTTTAATATGTAATCATATTAAAGGTTTGGGTTTTTAAAAAAGATTTTAAAGATTTTATTGGGGAATTGGGGGAGGGGAACAGCACTGGGGAATCAGGGGAAGGGGAACAGACAAGTTGCTGTCCTTTTGTTCTTCAGTCTAGTTGTACAGGACATTGCTTCACTGGCCCATGTTGGTATTATCATTGCACTCTTCCCAGGTGAGGCGGATTGGTTTCCAGCCTCTGGATGGCCGCTCACGGAGACTTTTGGCAACTCACAACGGCTGCCAGCCGCTCACGCTGGCTGCCGGCCACTCACAGTAGCTTATGGAAGCCCACTGCAGCAGGGGCTGCAGCTTATGCCGTCACCGGCGACTCACAGCAGCCCAGCTCCAGGTCGAGTGGTTGTTCACCATCTTAGCTGTAGAGGGTAGTGTCACTGGCCCTCATGTGGGATCCGAACTGGGGCCCTGCTGCTCAGAGCTGGCATCCCAAGCTAGCTCTTAACCAACAATGCCACCTGGCCGGCCCAATATTAAAAGTTTTTAATGAGACATTTTACTTTTTTTTTCATATTAAGTCTTTGAAATCCAGTGTGTATTTTGCACTTATAGCACATCTTGATTTCTTTTTTTTTTTTTAAGATTTTTATTGGGGAATTGGGGGATGGGAACAGCACTGGGGAATTGGGGGAAGGGGAACAGACAAGTTGCTGTCTTTTTGTTCTTCAGTCTAGTTGTGGAGGACGTTGCTTCACTGGCCCAAGTTGGCACCATCATTGCGCTCTTCCTGGTGAGGCAGATCAGTCGCCGGCTTCTGGACGGCTGCTCATGCTGGCTGCTGGCTACACACGGTAGCCCATGGCAACCCACTGCCACAGGGGCTGCAGCCTACGCCGTCGCAGGCGACTCACGGCAGCCCAGCTCCAGGTTGAGCTGTTGTTCAGCATCTTAGCTGTGGAGGGCAGTGTCACTGGCCCTCATATGTGGGATCCGAACCGGGGCCCTCTGGCATCCCAAGCCAGTTCTTAACCATCGCACCACTTGGTCGGCCCAGCACTTCTTGATTTTAACCAGCCCCTTTTCACAGAGTCAGTAGCCCCATGGGGCTAGTGGCTACTGTATTGGGCAGTACATGTACAAATAGTCCTGACCCATAAAATGGTGTTAGCATCTGTTAAATTTGTACCAGCTATATTACCTTTTAGTGTATGTATTTGGAATATTTTATAATTTAAAAAAAGGGAGAACGACCTACTGGATTTAAAACAAACAAAAAAATCCGGGGAAGGAAATGGAGTAAATCTGTCCAAAACAATGATGTCATCAAGAATGTAACTGGAGGAGAGCAATGGGATGAATAGTCATGATAGGAGATAATCCAAATGGTTTATTTGGGTTTGTAATATGTATTACCTTTATACTTGGACATATAAATGTGCTTGCTGTTCTGTAAACTCTCGTGTCTGTGCACCAACTATTGAGCCACACCTGAGATTCCAGTCTCGGGAGTTACTTGGGGCTTGTCTTGCTGCCCTTTGAGATCTCCCAACCCAGCAGCATCACCTAGTTTCCATCCCAGGTAGCAGGTTGTCCCCAACAAAGGTAAAACAGTCCCTCTTCAACAGTGCCTCTACTTCGCATTCTCTGTCCTATCTATCTATCTATCTATCTATCTATCTATCTATCTATCTATCTATCTATTTATTTATTTATTTATTTATCTGCATGCTTCTTTAGGGCAAGGGAGCCTCCTATTTCTCCGATCACTTCTCTTGGATTCTATGAACCAACAATAATCAGAAATGTTCTGTGAATGGGTGATGTCTATTAAGAACACAAGAGTGTAAACGTCCTAAGAACCATCCATTCATTCAGTTTACAAATCTCTAGCGAGGGCTTATTATATGCCAAACACTGTGCTAGAATCATCTGTCTGAGAATAATTTAGAGATGATCCTGAAATACAGATACCTAAATATGTTCACATGTTTTACCTTTATAGCTTTCTGTGCAGTCGTGCCTTTGTTCCTAGCTCATTATGTGTATTTCCTCTGCTTTGTCTCACAGATACTTCATGCATATTATGTCTTAGAGGTGCTCTTTGAATCCAAGAAAGCCCTGAAGCAATTGCGGAATTTCAATGTCATAGAAACTTGTCCCTCCAAAGATGTAACGATCTGTGGTAAGCTTCAGAGCAGAGTTGCCAAATTAATATTTTAGAGCCTCTTGGTTCCACGTCATTTGCCTAACTTGAAAACTGCGTAAATTGGACTGTGTTAAGGGAAGAGTGCTAATATAGAGTTATCTATCATGATAATACTGTTCCCCATCTTGTCTTTGTTTTGCATACCAGCTGGCAGGAATTAATTATGTGAGAAATTAAAGAACTCGTAGCTTTTTATGAAAGCAGGCAGCATTTTAATACAGAAACCACCCATGGGTGGACTAGGTGCTCTTTGCCCTCCATCTAGCTCTCATTATCTTTGTTCCATGTTGCTTTCCCCAGGTGGGCCTCTGCATGCCACTTACGCTGGGAAGAGAAAAGCCCAAGGCCAGGTGGAGATTCAACTCTCTCTGCCCTTGGCTGCTGTTTTAAATTTTTCCAACTGGTCTCTGCAGCTTTTAGAAGAGTGGGAATGTCCCAGAAATCTGTTCCTTGTTCTTCTAAATAACAAGATTGAGATTTTGTTATCCTATAGGCCAGCCTGGCAGGATATTGCTTCAAGAAACAGTACACATTGAAATTCAACACAGTTGGTGCTCAGCATGCTTGCACCTGTCTGAGAATGGAGTGCGTGGAAGGAACAGCAATTGCCTTAACTTCTAATTAAGACTTTAGGTTACAAAACAGTGATTGTTATTTTCCAAATCAGTTTTTAGCCCGTGTTTCTTTTATTTTGGCAGGTAGAAGTAGATTTGACAATCCAATTAAACCATTTCCATTTCTAGCATCTGATAGTGGTGGTAGGGACTTGATGTAGCAGTATATGCTCCATGATGTGCTCTGACTCAGGTTTTTGAAGAATCGTTAATGGTTCAGTTCCAACCTAATCAGGCAACCACATCTCTGCCTAGCAGATTATACATCTCTGCAGCGGTGGGGGCCTTTTATTTAAGGCCTTGCCAGCTCTTACTTTTCATGGAGACAAAGGATTTGGGGTGATAAGGTTCGGGAAACCATACCTACCCATGAAGCCTATGGAACCAGGGCTAGATTTGCTATCAGAGGATGTGTAATAGGCCAGAGAGTGGGCTCTGCTCTCACATGTTTCCAGTTTACCTCCATTTGCCACTATAGACTTATTTTTGGGCAAAAGGATCTGGAAGAAGACATGAATTAAATAGAGGGCATGGAATCCTGGAATCACACAATGTAAGAACTGCTGAAGGGTTCTTGCAGAGACCATCTGTCTATTGTTTTCTCTTATGGACAAAATTGAGGCCCAGAAAGAAAAATGTATCTCCTTCTATGAATTTCTATATAGTAACTCCCTCCACCCCACCCCACTCCAAGCTCACTCAGCTAGTTAGTGGCAGGGTCACAATTAAACAGGTACTTTGTTTAGAGCCAGCTCCATATTTGCTCTCTTAACTCCCCATCATGCACCACTCTGATGATGTTTCATTTTCCATTGCAAGGCAAAGACCAGGGAATGAATTGACTGGGAAGTCCCATTCATATAAAGATCCCCACATCTTGGGTATTTATTTCCAGGCTTTTTTCACGTAGCACCATTGGTGGAGGGAAAAGCCAATGTCAGTAGGTTTTCTTAGCATAGGATTTATTATTTTCTGTTTTTATTTATGTATTTATTTTTCTTAGCTGAGCCATCCTTCCACCTGTTGGTAGCTCAGCAGCAGCTTAGCTTGGGCTGGGAATCGAACCACTGTTGCTCAGAGCTCAAACTCTTGAGTGAGCTTGTAACCAACTGAGCCACTCGGCAGACCCTATTATTTTCTGTTTTTAATAACCTCATTAAACTTAGAAAAATTTGTTCATCATTTAAAATAAAATTTAAAATTGGGGCCATATTTTTAAAAACATTTTTTGTTTAAGACAATATCAGGAGTGCTCACTTCAGCAGCACATATACTAAAATTGGAACAACACAGAGAGGATTAGCATGGCCCCTGCGCAAGGATGACATGCAAATTTGTGAAGCATTCCATATTTTTGAGACACAGAGGAAAAACTGAGGGTAGCTAGTTGGGAGGGGGTGGGATGAAGGACAAGGGGAAGGGACGAGACAATACAAATTGGTAACTACAATATGGCCTCAGGGATAGAAATGACAGTCTGGGGAATATAATCAATAATGTTGTAAATATTTTTAGGGTGCCAGATGGACTCATGTCTTGTTAGGGAGACCAGTTCATAGATGGTGTAGAGGCCTGACCACCGCACTGTATATCTGAATCTGATGTTGAATAATATTGTATGTCAACTATAATTATATATACATATAGTCACAGGATGTGGAGTAGAGTGTGGGAATGGAGTCAATGGAATTGTAATAGATAAGCATGATATCGGGGGTGGGAGAGCAGTGTATGGGGGGAGGGGGGTTGTTACTTTGTGAGGGGTGAAAAGGATAACTATTGCATTGTTGTGTACACCTGAAACTAATAAAAAAAAAGACAATATCAGGAAAAGGAGGAAAATTGTGATGAAATTTTACCATTATTTTAATTCCCAAATGCATTTTTTACATACATATCTAAACATGCTATATGGTTCTCAACATGCATGAAATTTAGGAGATGTTTTAGTCTACAGTTATGTTATAAATGATAACCAATTCTGCACTCATGTTTTTGTTGGCAGTGAAAATATCTTTCTGTGGTTGTCTTTTCATGATACCAGTTTTATCTTTTGTTGTCAACTAGAAGTTAAAAAATATTTTTATAGCCTCAACATTTTTTTAAAAAAGATTTTTATTAAAATATAGCTAACATACAATATTATGTTAATTTCAGGTGTACACCATAGTTATTCAATATTTACATACCTGAAGAAGTGATCACCATGATAAGTCCAGCAACCATCTGACACTGAACCACGCTATCACAGTATTATTGACTATATTCCCCATGCTGTCCATGACTTATTTGTTGCATACCTGAAAATTTGAATCTCTTATTCTCTTTACCTCCCCCCGTTTTTAAAAAAATTTTCAATTACAGTTGACATTCAATATTTTATATTAGTTTCAGGTGTACAGCACAGTGGCTAGACACTTATATGCTTTAAGAAATGATCCCCCTGACTAGCCTGGTACCCACTTGGCAATATAGATAGTTATTACCATATTATTGATTATGCTTTGCTTTACATTCCCATAACTGTTTTGTAACTACCAATTTGGTACTTTAAAAAAAAAAGATTTTATTGGGGAATTGGGGGAGGGGAACAGCTTTGGGGAATCAGGAAAGGGGAACAGACAAGTTGCTGTCCTTTTGTTCTTCAGTCTAGTTGTGGAGGACGTCACTTCACTGGCCCATGTTGGCATTATCATTGTGGCTGCTGGCCACTCACGC